ATTCCAAATCCCGAATACAAGGGTCCATGGTCTGCCCCTTTGATTCCAAATCCCGAATACCAGGAGGAACCTTTACTCCACGCCTACAACACAGCCTACATTGGATTTGATCTGTGGCAGGTGAAATCCGGAACAATCTTCGATAACATCATCATCACTGATGACATTGAATCAGCGAACGCGTTCGCCGAGGAGACGTTTGTCAAATTCCGCGAGGTCGAAAAAGAAGCCAAACGAAAATTAGACGAGAAGGACAATGAGCCTGAGGATGATGACTCGAAGGGTAAAGAAGACGATGATGACTCGCAGAGTAAAGACGATGATGATGATATAATTGATTTAGATGTGATGGTTGGTGACGAAGGAAAGGTCGTTGTCTCGGAACCCGATCCAAACTTGGATCTCAAGGTTGACGATAAGCCGAAACCCGAAGACGTTCCATCAATTGTTGAACAAGATGAAGAAAAGGTTTCATCAGAAACAGAGTCAAAAGAACCCACCGGTCCATCTTCGGTCGAAAAAGAATCCGTCGCATCTGAAAAAGCAAAGGAAGAGACCAAGACAACACCATCCGCTTCACCGAAGAAACAAGAAGAAAAGGATGAATTTGACATACTGTTCGAAGACTTGGAGGAAGAATCGAACTCACCGAAGAGGGATGAATTATAAAAAGTGACGATTTTACATATTCACTAAAAAAAAAACAAAAAAAAAAACACATCACTCGGTGCATCGGTATCCATGTAGTTAGTTAATTAATTAATTGCCTTAGGAAAAAATTTTTTTCGTTACCATTTATCTTATTTCTATCGTTAATTCATTTAACATTGTAGAACAATCTTGGAGATAATGATAGAGTTTATTTAATATGTTGATTATTATTAATATGATAGACTATTATTAGTATCTAGAACCAACATAGTTGAGGATTTTATTATGTTGATAAATCAATCGTGTAAAATCCAGTAAATGATTCATATTAGGAACACTCTTGCTGTTAAGAGCGTTACACGACTAATGTCGTCTTTAGCGTATTTTACATGGTTTCAATAAAAAAAAAAAAGAAGAAAAATCCAATCTTCATAATTGAGCAAAAATTTGAACTTAATCTTATCGAAGAATATCATAATACTCCAACCTTTTTCTGCATCTAAATGTGAGCATGTCTAGCAAATGTTTAACGACGGTGAAAAGCAAAAAAAGTCACAAAATGAAATCACAAAGATGCAGAACCTTAAAAATAGAATGTATTCGACGCATACTTTACCCAAGAAGAAAACAAGAGTGGTTTTCAAACTTCTTCATTCCCCTTCGATGATCCATCCCCTTTAGAATCGAGAAAAAAAAGAAAAAATCGATTTTTTTTTTTTTTTTAATAATTGCCAGCAATTATCTAAGAACTTTCAAAACATGGGAAGAATCTCTGGTGTCGTACTTTTTGGAAGCCCTCTTGCGATTTGGCTTTCCGCGACCATTATTACTCGGATTGTGTAACTCGAATTCTTGGAATATGTAATTCTCACACTTCTCAGAGTTTGGCAGTTCCTGTATCATTTTTCGAATCGTTGGCTGCGATAGTCCAAAGTAGTCTGGACCAGAAGCGGCATTCGAATGTTTTCTATTGCGAATGCTGTTTGCTTGCTTGATCACAGGCGTCCAAGCGCCAGTTGCACTTGAAGCAACGATGGGTTGATCTGGCGCATCATCAGCTTGAACAATAAACTGATCACCAAAAAAAAAAAGGATAAAATGTATACGTAAACACTTGATTAAAAGTTTTAGTTGAAAGATGAATGAAAAAACTTGCCCTCGGTCCTTCACGGCCATCTTCAATTCTGGATGTGTACGTCGTATTTTTGAAAGGATCGATCATGCTAAGATATGGCCTGTGAAATTTCAATATTTCAATATATTATGGCACGAGATCGGTCAAGAAAATAGCTAAAACAGAATAAGATAAAATAAAAAGAAAAGACGATACCTTCGCACGGAATAGCCAACTGGGTAGATATATCGGTCGTTGTGAAAGGATGCACGGTCGTATACGATCGATCCAAGGCTCGATACGGTGTGTAATCCGACCTCGACCGGAAGAATGTAATTACCATTCTCATCCTTGTCGACGTGATGAGCCTTCATGCTCCTCACAATGGAGCGACCTTGCCTCCGCTTTATACTTTTGGCTGATGATGTTTTCTTGGATTTTTGTTGAACATCGTTCACAATTTTAACTTTCTTTACGAGAGAATCGTGTTTAGAGTTATTTATGTAGGAATTGCGAGCATCATCAACGGCGGTGGCGTCAGAAGTATTAAGTTTTAGTCTTTTGGATCCTGGCTCCGCGAAGGAATCCGCTATTCGTTCCAATATATAACTAACATTGCTCTCAATGATCAGCCAAAAATGATCTTTCTTTTTTTTTTTTTGTTCAAAGAGTCTTTTCTAAACTGACTTACTCCCTCTCGCTTCTGCATTTCTTGGCTTTCCTCATGGCGCGGTCATATCGTTCATTCAACTCCTCATTCTTCTGCTCAAAAGGAATGCGAGAGTAATGAAATACCATTAAAAAAGTAGAACCGAAAGGTGTCTCCTCTTCACGTTGGCGTGCAGAATATAACATACCCTGGATAATTCTTTATACTTGCGTTTTAATTCCTTATATTTTTCATACGTGGAAGAAGCAGAAGTTTCACTTTGCGACTGAATCTTTTGTTGTTTCCTTGGCGGTCTTCCCATTATACGAAGCCTTTGACGACGAAGAAAAATAATAATAGTAATAATAAGGATAATAATTCGACTTTAAATAATTATTGTCAATCGTAAGCAATCGTGGGATCAGGTATTTATAGTTGCAAAATTACTTTAAATCGTTAAGTATAAACAGAAAGTGCAAAATTGTTATCGTTACACACATCATAATTGGTAAAAAGCATTGACGCGATTGAGTCTCGCGACGAATGAAAGGGTCGTCGTTCCACCGTTTTCTTGCATTCGAGCAACTTCAGCTGACAAATTTAGAAAGTGTAAAAGAATTCCAAATTACCAGAGTTTCAGAGACGATTGTCCGATCGCAAATAAAACAACCGACCGTGAATGTCAATTTAACAGGTGACGCCCATTTGTTGATATCTTTGGAAATTAAGAAATTTCGTTGACCTGTAATTGCATTGGGATCATTTATTTGCCTCACTTGAAATTTGCAATTAGTAATGCACTTTGTTCGGACACTCATCCGACGCGTATTATTTTAAACAGCGATTTACGTTTAGTATCATCAAGCACATCACATTTTGATGACAACGAAAGTAAAGTTGATTCGTTCCTTTCTTAAAAGATTACGATATCCAAAAATGTGCTAAACATATAGACGCATCTGAATGTGGCGCCAAAAAGATTTGTGTCAGTGGCTTATGAAATGTTTGTGCACCTTCTCTTGAGATTATTTTCTCATTGTCTATCTCATATGATCTATTTTTTTTTTGAATTAAAAATTTTCATTATTTCTTTTAATAAAAAAAAATGGTTGC